AACAATAACCTAATCAATATTGACTAATTTTAGCCACATTCCCAACTCAAACTCAGCACACACTGCCAGTCTTCCCCAATATCTCCTCTCAATTCCCCACCACACCTTATAAAGTGGGAATCAAAGATATCTGATTCTGTCATTGTTAATCTAAGAATAAAAACACTGACTTGAATACAGTTTTACTAAGTTTCAACCTTCTAAGTAGGTAGGCCTCTAGATATTCTGCAGATCACTGGTGGTCTTGATAGCCATTAATATATGTTTGTATTATGTTATTTTTCAACTAAATCGCAGTCGAAAAAAACATTTAATATTATGCCCTTGGATCTATTACTGCATCACTAGCACTTGTGATGCAGTCGGACACTTCGCCTGTACTGAAAGGGCCAAGAGTAAATGCCTTGTTTTGTTTTTATTTTGTTTTTTGTTAAACATGTCTATAGAGTTGGCAGTTAATGCTGAATTTGTCAAATACCCCTTCCAAAATTATACTTGTATTTAAAAAATAAATGGATCTACCTAATTTCTATTGATTTAAATAAAAAAAAAAAAAAAAAAGAATTCTTCAAAGGTGGCGGTTCAGGTTCCCATAGCAAAAGCTCTCAGTCCAGTTCAAACAAAACCAAACACTAATAAATTACTCCCAATAAAACCAACAACAGGCCTTAGATAGAAATCCGAAATTCCTCAGGGAATTAATGTAGTACTCCATCTTAGTTTCAATTAAGTGAATCAACAAACAAACAAACAAAAAATTCAGTTAGAGCTCCACATTGTTCTAGAGTTGTTAGCGCTGTAAGACTATGTGGTGAGTTTGCAGGGGAAAAAAAAAAACTGCTAATCAAATCACAAGGGAGATGTGATTGGTATAATAAAGAACTATCCTTGGCCGGGCGCAGTGGCTCACGCCTGTAATCCCAGCACTTTGGGAGGCTGAGGCAGGCGGATCACAAGGTCAGGGGTTTCCACCCTGGCAAACATGGTGAAACCCCGTCTCCACTAAAAATACAAAAATTAGCCTGGCATGGTGGCGTGTGCCTGTATTCCCAGCTACTTGGGAGGCTGAGGCAGGAGAATCACTTGAACCTGTGAGGCAGAGGTTGCAGTGAGCAGTGGGTGACAGAGCAAGACTCTGCCTCAAAAACAAACAAACAAACAAACAAAAGAACTATCCTTGAGAAGGAAGGTTTTAGCATTTACCACATTACCTAAAGTTTATACATAATGACCAAAATCTAAGTTTCCTTGGAAAGGTGATATGTTTTTATTAATGCTTTATTCAATTTATGAAGTATGCACATATTCATATAAGTGTTTCTAAAACATAGTTTCTCTGTCAGGCATGGTGGCTTACACCTGCAATCCCAGAACTTTGGGACGCTGAGGCGAGCGGATCATCTGAAGTCAGGAGTTCGAGACCAGCCTTGGCAACATGGTGAAACCCCACCTCTACTAAAAACACAAAAATTAGCTGGGTGTGGTGGCGGGCGCCTGTAGTCCCAGGTACTCAGGAGGCTGAGGCAGGAGAATCTGCCTCCGCTTGAACCTGGGAGGCAAAGTTTGCAGTGACCTGAGATGGCACCATTGCACTCCAGCCTGGGTGACAGAGAGAGACTCTGTCTCAAAACATAAAAAAATAAAAAAATTTTAAAAAAGCATAGTTTCTCGAAGTGAGGCCCAAATCACAGTCATCCAGGGAGCTGCTTAAATAAGCAGAATCTGCATGTTGTATAAGCTTCCTGGGTGATTTTGATGCACCCTGAAGTTTGGGAACTACAGCTGTAGAAGTACCTGAGCTTAACCTGCTAACCCTTTCCAGCTCCATCAGAAAAGGGCTGTGAACCTCTGCCTAAATACCTCTAGTGAGAGAGCTCTCGCCAACATCAAGGCTGCCCGGTCTGTGGGTTTTAAAAGCCACTTCCTCAGATTCAACCAGAGCCTACCACCCAGCTCTGCCAAACACCTCGAAGAGCGAGTTTATTCCCTTGTCCACATGTCAAACACCTCTGGCATTTAGGGCTGCTGGCTAGCATGCACCCCCCACACTCACTGCAAACTTCTCTCTCTTTTTTTTCTTTTTATTTAGAGACAGGATCTCACTCTGTCACCCAGGCTGGAGTGCAGTGGCACAATCATAGCTCACTGCAGTCTCAAACTCCTGGGCTCAAGGGATCCTCCTACCTCAGGCTCCCAAGTAGCTGGGACTACAGGTGCACTCCCTTTCCAGCTGAAACAATTCTAGTTCATCCAACCCCATTTCACATCAGCTTGACAAGAATAAGAAAAAGAAAAACATTTGTTCAAGATTTAGTTAACAATCTACGAAGCCACAAATCCAAATTACTATGAACCAAGCACTGATGGAGTTATGGTAGGGCGGAGAGGATAAGAGAACAGGCTTTTGTATCCTGGCAGCTGGATTTAAGCTTTAGTTCACAAATGGTCTGAACTTGACCAAGGACGATGATATGGAACCTTGGGATCCTCAGCTGTAAACCAGTGTTAATAACCCCATTGCAGGTTGAAGTGAAGATTAGATAAGACAGTCTAAGATGAGTGTTATTAAAAGTTGCTCCAGGGAGGACACTGCAGTGTCTATCAAACTGCCTCTATACGTAGCCCTAATTGTAGTGAAAACAAACCCTCAAGGGCTAGGTTTGGACCAAATCGCAGCTCAAATCCCAAGCAAAATGTTTTCGAGGTTTCTTGTTTTAGATTTAAAAGGTATATAATTTTTGGATTCTACTTCAAAATATATGTGATTGTTTTAGTATAAAAAGTGTTTTTAATCTGAAATATTTGTGTAAAAATGACACTCAAAGAAAATCTCCTCCTCTTGTTTTTGTTTGTTTGCTTGCTTGTTTGTTTATCACCCAGGCTGGAGTGCAGCGGTGTGATCATAACTCACTGCAGCCTTGAACTCCTGGGCTTAAGCGATCCTCCCTCTCCAGCCTCCCAAGTAGATGGGACTACAGGTGGGCGTTACCACGCCCAGCTAATTTTTAAACTTTTTGTAGAGATGGGGTCTTGCTTTGTTGTCCAGGCCTCTCCACCGCTTGTTTATTCTGGAACTTCAGGTACTCCCTGGCACACTGCCCACCATCCCCAGTGCCTGCCACTCATCTTGATCTCCCTCGGAGAAAAGCAGGCTTAGTCTACAATCAGATAATAAGTGAGCTCAGGAAAACAAAAGAGTGGCTGGACATAAACAAAGAAACATGCCACTGGACATGAGCCTGGGGATGACTAGGAGACTCACCCTTTAAACACTAAGGCCTGGAGTGGTACACGGCTTGACTGTGCGGGTTACCCTCTAAATTGCTTGCAGAGAAAAATGATCCCTAACCAAATGCAAGAACATCCAGGAGGGAAATTCACAGAAGCCTTTGATCCAGTAGCTGTGTGTCTGTGCCTGTCTACATGTGGGTGGGGGCAGGGGTGTACTTGTGTCTATATCCTCAATCAGCAGAAATCTGACATGAGCTGAATGAGGATGGCCTTGGCCTGATAGGGCTCTGGGGAGTCAGCAGCTCTTGGGTCACTGGGGTTATCCATTTTCTTATTCCTGTCCACTTCCTCTCCTACTTGCTCTTCCATCTGTGTCTGAGAATTCCCTGGCAACGAAAAACCTAGGGTTTGGACGCTGGGCATGGTGGCTCATGCCTGTAATCCCAGCACTTTGGGAGGCTGAGGCAGGTGGATCACCTGAGGTCAGGAGTTCAAGACCAGCCTGACCAGCATGGCAAAACCCCGTCTGTACTAAAAATACAAAAAAATAGCCGGGCGCAGAGTCGGGTGCTTGTAGTCCCAGCTACTCGGGAAGCTGAGGCAGGAGAATGGCGTGAACCCGCAAGGCAGAACTTGCAGTGAGCCGAGATCGAGCCACTGCACTCCAGCCTGGGCGACAGAGCAAGACTCCATCTCAAAAAAAAAAAAAAAAAAAAAAAAAATTCTAGGGTTTGATTATCAATAGTTACCAGTTACCTCCTGAGTAGCTGGGACTATAGGCACGTGGTGGCATGCACCTGTAGTCTCAGCTACTCAGGAGGTTGAGGTGGGTGAAACACCTGAGCCTGGGAGGCAGCGTGAGCTATATCCAGGCACTGCACTCCAGCCTGGGTTACAGGAGTGACACTGCGTCTTAAAACAAAACAAAAAATTAAAGGGCAAACAGTAGGGAATGGAAAGGGGTGGTGGGGTGTCATGGACTGGTGGGCAGGAGAATGGATAACTTGGAGAGGGCCACCCTATCTATCCTTCCCACTGTCAGCAGGAGAGAGCAGATGCCGAGTTCCATGAAAAGCACGAGTTATGCAGGACCCACTCTGCTCTATCAGCTCAGAAGACTTGCACTGACCCGGGGGGCACTTCTGCCGGCAAATTGTTGAGAAGCAATCCTCCTTGGCCCCAAAATCTCCAGTTGGTCAAAGTCATGACAAACTGGTGAGACTGCGCCACCGGCCAACTCAAGTCATGGACCCTATAATGATCAGACTCCGATGTGCCGGGCACTGTGCCGAGGGTATTAGACACACGAAAAGTTAAGAAAATGGTAAGGATCTAGGGGAAAGGAGTAAGTTTCTTAAATGGAGTAAAGAAAGAATCAAAGAGTAAACTGTAAGAGGTGTTAGGCGCAGTTAGCTACAGTCAAGATTATCTCGGTCCTTTCTTTTTGATGCCCGAGCCCAGCACACGGACTGAATAAATAACTGCCGTGGTCTCTGACCCGCGTCCTGAGCTGTGTAAGCGGCCCCGGATGTCTGGATGGTGCCAGTGGTTAGGCGCCGCACTCGCCTCCCTCTCGCCCACCCGGAGCGAGTCCCGGGCCCGCTGGCCCCCTCCACCCTGTGGCCGCCCGGGCTTGCCCGCAAGCCGGCGCCGAGCACCCATTCTAGGGCGCAGCGCGGAGCCGGGCATCCCCGCGAGACCCTCCCGGGCCATGTTCCCCGTTCCCCGAGCCCAGGACTCCCGGCCCGGAGCCCCTTTACCCCTCGTACCGAGGCCGGGCTGCGCTCCTCCTCTGCGGCTGCGGAGGTCACACCCTGCTCAGGGCCAGACGGCGGGTCTTATCCGGGACGGATCCGCCCCGCTTTGGGGTGGAGACTGAGCCCAAGTTCCTGGTTTTTCCTCTGCCCACGAGACCGGAAAATCCCTCTTTAGGCGAAGCGCACCTGGGGCCCCAGGCCGGGACTGCAGCGCCAGGAGCTCTCTGAGGGGCGGGCCTCGACCCTCGGCGGGTGCGCCCTCCACACGTGCCCGCGCCCCAGGCCGGCCGGGTCCCCCGGCCTCGCCCTCTGCCCGGATTGAAATAGTGCCGCCAGTACCGCCAGCCCCGCTCCTGGTCCCGCAGGGTGGGAGCAGTTGGATTCTCGGGGTCCCCGTGTCCCGGGCGCTCCACACCCTCGGAAGGCCGAGCCCGGGCCACCTCGCCAGTTCCTCCCTGCGCCTGCCGCGCCCAGCTCCGCGCGGAGCCGCAGTCCCGCCACGAATCCACGCTTCCCCCAACCCCGGAAAACCGTTTCTCTCCCAACGGCAGGCTAGTGGTGAGCCCGTGGCCGGAAAAGTAGAAAGTGAAATCTGAAGGGTACTTTTCATTTCCCCCTTTCACATGAAAACACATTCCCAAAAGTTTCCAGCACTTCCCTCTTCCCTGTGTGCCCAGCAGGCCGAGAAAGCTTTGGAGTAGGAGTTAGGAGCAGCTCTGGATCTTTCTCTGTATTCCTGTGAGTGACTGAGGTTTAGACACTGTCCGTAGCTCCCAGATTCGACTTGGCGCGGCGCTCATCCCTTATAATAGTGTTGTGTTTTCATATCTGCTTCCCCTGCTGGACACAGCCTCTTGAAGCCACCAACTAGGGCCAGGTCGTCTTAGCACCCATGCCCAGCACCGATTCCGCCATGTAGTGAATGCTTGCAGAATGAATCCGTTGAGTCTATAGGCAAATTCAATTTTTTTAAAAAACAGAGAACAGCCCGTTTGGGGAGTGTTTCTATCCGACACATCAAAATCTAAGTGGTTAATGGCACCCTTAAAGCTGGAGAGGTAGCATTAAATTATTTCATTAAGATGTAATTTTAAAAGGTGGTTTAATATGGTTTAGAGCATGGGTTTTAGGATCAGACTGATTTGGATACTAAAACTCGTTCTGCCTCTTTTGTCTGCATGTGATAACTTAAAAAATTAAGGCTGGGAACGGTGGCTCACGCCTGTAATCCCAGCACTTTGGGAGGCCAGGGCAAGTGGATCGCTTGAGCCCAGGAGTTCGAGACTAGCCTGGCCAACGTGGTGAAATCCTATCTCAAAAAAAAAAAAATAGACACACAAATTAGCCGGGTGTGGTGGCATGCGCCTGTAGTCCCAGCTATTCAGGAGGATGAGGTGGAAGAAACACCTGAGCCCGGGAGGCGGAGGCTGCAGTGAGCTGAGACTGCGCCACCGCACACCAGCCTGGGCAACAGAGCGAGACACTGTCACGAAAAAAAAAAAAGAAAGAAAGAAAAGAAAGAAAAGAAAAAATAAGTAAAATAACTACCCGGGCGCGTAGCCACGCCTGTAGTCCCAGCTACTGGCCAGGCTGAAGCAGGAGGATCACTCTAAGCCCAGGAAGTCAACGTTGCAGTGAGCTATGACTGCACCACTGCACTCCAGCCTGGGCGACAGAGTGAGACCTTGTCTCAAAACAAAAACAAAAACAAAACAAAACAAAAAATTAAAGGGCAAACAGTAGGAAGAAATGAAATACAGATAATTCATTTCCTCAGCAAGATAAGAGAGACACTGCATCCCTTACAAGCAACAGTTAGTCTGGGTGAGGTGGCTCAGACTATAATCCCAACACTTTGGGAGGCCCAGGTGGTTGCTTGGGGCCAGGAGTTCGCGAGACTAGCCTAGGCTACATGGTGAAAACCTGTCTCTAAAAAAAAAGAGAGAGAAAAAGAAAGAAAAAATTAGGCTACACGAAAAAAATAAAGGTTAGGAATGAAGCAGACGCTGTTGGCACCCCGCTCAAATAATCTTTACTAGGTGGGTGCGTCCAGCCCCAGCTCACTGCCCCCTCACTGCCCCCTTCTGCCGACATTTGCGCTCAGACCAGACTGGGGAAGCCACAGCCAGAGGCTAACTTTTTTAGGGTATAAAAGATGTGACTTCCTTGCTGCATTGGATAATACTTTTTAAATATTGGGAGATTATTTGCCATTTTTTTTGTGCTATTCACAATGTAACAGCTACAAATATGATACAATTAAAAATGTTAATAGTAAAAAAATAAAAAATAAAAAAATAAATTAGATGATGGAGTATAATCCAGTGCAGAGATTCAGAAGATGCTCAGAGGACATTGAATAATAGCTTTTCAATTACATTAGGGAAATCCCCAGGGTTGAGAAACCTTGAACTTGGCTGAGTTTGGATTTTGAACATTTATTTGACCATATTTATTGTAAACAAATCAAGATAATGCAAATGAATTATTCCCTTGTGAAGTTTTGTTGTTTAAACAAAAAGGAAATATTTCTTTCTAAATAAATGACCTGTCACCACTTAAAAAAAAAAAAAAAAAAAAGGCCAGGAATAAATCTGCGGTACCATTCATATGCCAGAGCTCCCATGGGATCAGACTGAGGCTAAACTTCGTCAGAAATTTGCCCAGTTTCTCCCTCTGGCCTATCCTATTTCCCTCACTTACCTAGAGGCTTCCCTCGAGAATACGCTCACTACAGCACTTGCACTAGAATCCCAGGATCAGGCTCTGTTTCTAGGAAACCTGATCTAAGAGTATTTAAAAAATTAATATAATTGTAGAAATTCAACTCCAAGAAGCTTTTAAATTAAAGACAGGGATGGGTGCTGTGGCTCACACCTGTAAACCAGCACGTTGGAACGCCGCAGTGGGAGGATGGTTTGAGGTCAGGAGTTCGAGACCAGTCTGGGCAACACAATGAGACTCTCTCCCCCACCCACCATGTCTCTTAAAAAAAAAAAAAAAAAAAATAGCCAAGCCTAGTGACGCACACCTCTAGTCCCAGCTACTGGGGAGGCTGAGGCAGGAAGATCACTTGAGCCCAGGGGTTTGAAGCTGCAGTGAGCTATGCCTCTGCACTCCAGCCTGGGTGACAGAGTGAAACTCTGTCCCCCGCGCTCCCCCTTCCCCACAAAAAAAACCCACACTTTTTTAAATTTAAAAAAAAAATTTAAATCTCACAAGGACAAGGGAATAAAAGAGGAAAAATAATAAGAGTTTGGAACCTGGAAAGCACGTGGACAGGCGACAACTGACTTAACAGACCTGAGAAATCCGACTTCTAAACCAGGAGTAGGGAAAACCAAGAAACAACGTGACAGTGGGATTTCTCAGGATAGGAGAGTTTGCTGCACTGGATGCGTTTGAAAGTGGGTGTGTAGGTGAGACTAAACCCAGGACGAGTTCTTGTAAGTCTGTACAAGAAGCAGTGAGCCTACCCAACACTGCACAGTGGCTACTGCTCCTCTTCCGCCAGGGCGGATGATTGGACGCATGTCCTCTGAAGAATCATGCAGGGCTCTCTGGAATGGGGACACCAGATGTAGTCGAGGTGTTCTGGTTGTCTAAGGTTGCCTAAAAACCACCCCAACACTTGAAGATGACTTAAAACAATAACCATTATATCTCATGATTTTCTGGGTCTGAATTTGAACTGAGCAATTCTTCTGTTCCACCCGGCATCAAGAAAGGTCACTTGGTGCTATCCAGCTGGCAGATGGGCCAGTCTGGACAACTCACATATTGGGTACCATGATAAGAGCTGGAAGGTTGGTCTCAATTGGCACTGTCAACTAGAGCATCTACACATGCCCTCTTCACATGGCAGGCTCAGGGTCAGATTTCCTTCATGGAGGCTCAGGGTTTCCAGAAAGGATACTCCAAGACATCCAGGCAGAAGTTACAAGGCTTCTTATTATGCAAGCTTGGAAGCTGATGAACGTTATTTCTGTTGCATTCTATAAGTCATGCCTGTCACTAGGGCCAGCCTAGATTCGAGGGAAGGGGATTAGGCTCCATCCCTGAGTGGGGAGGGGTGGGAGGGTGCAAAGAATTTGCAGCCATCTTTCATCAAGGCCAAGAGATGAACACAAGACTAGGGCTACTGTACTGAAATTGAAGAGCCACATGAAACTTAAGATAATGTCTACTGAGCTGCTTGGTATTCTTCCCACTTGGCTCCTAGAACTCTGGCAGCCAGGATCAAACTCACTAAGATGGAGAGTTTGGAATGCTCTTCTCTGGGGAATCTAAGAGAAAAGACCTGAAAAAATGTAATAATTTGCGCAATGAAACTGGAGGAACCTGTTAGTCAACTCACCCTTGTCAAGCCCCACCCACTTACACACACACTCAGGGCTTCCAGGCAGCTTTGCAGATCTCACTCTTAGGGTTGCGAGATAAAATACAGGACACTTAGTTAAATTTGATTTTCAGTGAACACCAAGTAATGTTTTACTAAAATATAAAATACTCATGTACTATAAGTATGTCCAAAATATTACATGAGACATATTTATACTAAAAATTATTCATTGTTTATCTAAAATTCAAATTTAATCAGATGTCCTGTCTTTTTTTTTCTTTCTTTTTGTTGCTAAATCTGGCACACTTAAGTAAGAGCAGGCAGCTGAAAGTCATCACAATGTAAGGGAAGGATCTGACATTAAAGACAGAGCCCAAAACATGCTAACAGGAAAAATGAGACAAGGAAGAAAAAGAGTATATGGGGAGAAGAGAACTGAGAAATCTATTATTGATCTTCTCTGAGAAAGATCAAACAGAACAGAAAAGCTGGGCGCGATGACATGAGCCTGTAGCCCCTGCTACTTGGTAGGCTGAGGCAGTAGGACCACTTGAGCCCAGGAGTTTGAGGCTATAGCGTGCTATGACCACACCTGTGAACAGATACTGCACTCTAGCCTGGGTGACATAGCGAGACACTATCTCAATAAGTAAACAAATAAATACTCTAAAAAAGGAACACTCATAGAACCAAATACAGCTCTTTTAAATTAAAAATACAATAGCAAAAATGAAAAACTCAGTAGAATGTTAAGAAGATAAAGTTGGAAAATATCCTAGAATGCATAGACAAAAGGCAAAGAGCAGGGGAAGAAATAAGAAAAAATAAGAAGATTAGAAAGCCAGCCCTGGACATCTGGGAAACGGGGTAAGAAATGAATTATTCAATTATATATTTTGAGAACTAAAGAGCATGCATTTCCACATTGAAAGTGCTCACTGAGCACAGTGCAATGGACAAACCAGAACCACACCAAGGCACATTGTGATAAAACTTCAGAAGACTGAGGACATAGAGAAGATCTTACAAGTACCCAGGAGGAAATAAGATTTCACATAAAGGATCCAGAATCAGAATGGCATCTGATTTCT